CACACACACACACACACACACACACACACACACACACACACACACACCAGTTTGTTTCCCTCCATCTGTTTAGATGGATCAGGGGAAGAGACAGGGAACAAAGAACAAAAACTGAAACAATGTAGCCAGACAGGCAAGTGGCAGGCGCTCTAGCCCACTCACTCTGGCTTTGCTTGTTGCTATGCCAGAGTAACGCATTTGCTCCCCTGCCCGAGGGCATGTGCGAGCCGCTGTATGATGAGTGTATGTATGTTTGGGTGTGCTGATGGCTGTGTGTGTTGAGGTTGGAGGACCACTTTCCCCGGTGGATCCAAGGATCCAGGGATCAAACACAGGCCCATCAGGCCTGCGTGAAGAGAGAACTTTTACAGGGCGACTCCTCTCAGCAGGCCAGTAGCCACTGTTTTCACTGAGAGGGGCGAGTGGTAAGACCTCCAGGGGACGCTTGAAAAGTCAGGTAGTTTTGAAGACTGGTTGGGGTTCCCTGCACGCACCCATAATGACGTTTGATTCACAAGTTAGGCCTGGCGAGAGCTTAACAATGCTGAGAGAACACTTAACAGTGATAAGGGTATCAGTTTTCTCCTCGAAGTCACTGTTAAATAAATCAGGGCTCCTCGTTCCAGTTCTCCGAAGCTAAGTTCTGTGACGCCGGGACAGTGTTTCCTGTGAGTGAGAAGGCTTCGAATTAACCACCGCATGGGTAGTCTGGAGGATGTGGACAGGCTGGACAGGTCTGAAGGAGACGGCTTTGGTTAGAGTTTTCATTTTGATAGTAATTTAATTTTAATACCATCATCTTAATTATTGTGTTAGTTCCCATACTAGCCACTGCTCTAGTTTCGCTATCTGCACGAACGCACAACCCACAAGGCAGAGAACTGCTAACCATGAAGGTTATGAGAAGCAGAGAGGAACATCTGAATTTCACCCTCAGGGAGAAGCCAGGTCTCAACTACCCATACTCTGCGGTGTCTGGGTACACCAGGCCCCGGTAGCCAACACCCCTCACCTCAGTGGTCAGACACATAGATTTCTTTCATGGTACTTTTACACGTGTTGCTGGGAGTCTCTCCAGCTCCTGGGAACGCTGATGTTCCTCACGGGCGGGAAGAAAGCTCCAGAGGAGGGTGGAGCAGGGCTTCCCAGCCGTGACTCTGTTGGCTTCGGGGTGAATAACTCCGGGCCCTTTCCAGTCATGGTGGGTACTTAGCATCACTCCCGGCTTCTTTCGACTGAGGGCTTGTAGGACCTCGCCCAGTCAAAATCCAGAGTTGCCCAGAGTGGTCCAGCGACAGCTTCGTGCCTTGCTGAGAGCCATGGCCTTAGACTAAGATCTCAGAACGGCTGGACATTCGCCACCCTTCATCAACACTGGTATCAACCAGTGTCGTGAGTCCACGGAGCCACAAGCAAGGCAGGAAGTGAATTTTCCAGAGAAACAGGAGCCCCGATCAGTTTGGTTGGGAGTTTTGCTGATTGCCTCAGGGCAGCGGTTCTCAACTTCCCTCACGCTTCGACCCTTTAATACAGTTCCTCATGTTGCGGTGATCCCCAACCATAAAATGATTTTCTTTGGTACTTCATAACTGTAGTTTTGCTTCTGTTATGAACTGTGCTATAAATATCTGTGTTTTCCGATGGTTTTAGGGGACACCTGTGAAAGGGTTGGTTGACCCCAAAGGGGTCACAACCCACAGGCTGACAACCACTCCCTCAGAGGGGAAAAGTAGCACAGCTTTAAGGGATATTCTTAGAGTGAGTGACGCATGGGTTTCTTAGTGACAATAGGGACAGGACTTGGTAGGCACCCTCAAAGGGCAGCATCCGTTTTCCTGACTAAAGCTTTAGTAGAGCACGGCCTTGCACGTTTGTTTTCACCTGTGGCTCTTTTCCACTTTTGCTGGCAGAACTGGGTTCTTGCAACGGAGCCTATGTGCCTGGTAGAGTCTGGTAGTTCTGGTCCGTAGATTATAACAGAAATTGGCCAATTCCCCAAACCCTTTTTGTCAATTTGATGCAAGCTAGAATCACTGGAAAAGAGAGAACCTCAGCTGAAGGATTTGCTTCCATGAGGCAGGCCCCAGGGGCATGGCTGTGGGGCATTTTCTTGGTTGATGATTGATATCAATTAATTGTGGGTGGAGCTGCCTTGGTGGGTGGTGGTTCTGGGATGTGCAGGAAAGCGAGATGAGTAAACCTTGGGGAACAAGGTAGTAAGCAGGGTTGTTCCAAGCTGCCTGCTTCAGTCTCTGCCTCCCAGTTCCCGCCTGAGGCTCCGGCCTTGGCTGCCAGTGACGATGGACTGTAAATTGTAAGATGAAATAAACCCTTTCCTCCTGGATTGCTTTCAGTCATGGCGTTTATTACCGCCGCTGAGAGCAAACTAGGATGCTTGGGCGGAGCAAAGCCCAAAGGCAAACCACAGCGCGATACATTGTTGCATCTTTGTTTCTACAATGTTGCAGTGTCCTTTAAGCAGTAAGATGATCATAATGTACCCAGAGGGCCAGTGGCAGGGAACACTAAGTTTTCATTGTCTTTTCCTTGGGGTTGTGACAGAATTCACACAGCTACTCTTTCTGCTTGCATAACCCACAATTTGTAATTCCATTTTTTTTTTTTTTTAACATAAGAGCTCCTTTCTAGCCTGCATCATCCATACAGGAAAGTGTACAGATTGGAGGGGGGAAGGGTATCTCCAGTCGTGTTCAGTACTGGGACGTACTGTAAAACACAGCCCGTCTTCCCTCGTCTTCCCTCCTACCCTGCTTTCTACACGTCCGGACGCTAAACTAAAGATATCAGTGAGAGGTCTGTTGGTTAGTTTCGCATGCCTCCTTTGCAACCTAGGTGCCGTCACAGGCGGTGCCTGTTTTGGTTGCAGGGCTGTTGAGGAGAAAGCCACAGTGCCCACAGTGTTTCAGGAGTGAGTGGCAAGCCTTCAGGAAGTACTCGCTGCCACGGGTCATTGCTGTCTTCTAAGCTGAGGAATGGTTTTGCACGGCCGTCACAGCCCGGCTCTCTCTCCGCAGGTCTACGCTGTGGTGGTGATTGCATCTGTGGTGGGATTCTGCCTCCTGGTGATGCTGCTGCTGCTCAGGTTGGCAAGGCACTCCAAGTTTGGCATGAAAGGTAAGCAGAGCCGTGCTTGTTTTGCCTCTTAAGTGGACTCATTTCTGGCTCATGACTAATGCTCATTATCACTGAAGGAGGAAGTGGCTGGATTTATGATGACTGGTTTTTTTAGGGCTGAAAAATAGCAACAAGGATATGATACTACGAATCAAGACAGAACCAACTCACGATTACTCAACACTGCCCACTTTCCCGTGAGCACAGTTATCCCAGGAAGCGTGGACTGGCTTCTGGCGTACGGACTGGCCCAGTGGTGTAGGCACAGGCCGGGGAGGCAGAGGAGCCAGGAGATGCTATGGCCGTGGGTCACGTGTGCTCGGCTGTACACTGAGAGCCAAGTCTGCTGTCTCCTGCTTCCTTTTGCTGTTGCTTTTCTGTATTCTCATTTTTTTTTTAAATTAAGCAACACCAACAGAAGCAAAATAAGAAGAGCCAGCATGATACACTGAGGCTTTGTGTGTGGATGGGCTTTCATTTAAGTGGCAAAATTCTCAGGGCTTACAACTAGGGATTATATTGTCCTGAGCAGACAATACCGTTTAGCAGCTAATAAGTTGTGTTTGGAAGCAGGGGTGAGAAGCCACTCAAACACATGCTTTCATATAAGCGTGCAGAGTTCCTGTGGCTTTGAAGCATTTGCTGTGATGTGTAAGTAAGCCAATGTATTGGCTGTTATGAGATTATTGTGTTTTCTGTGGTCTCTGGTAGCTCGATACTGTAAGTGCCTAGAAGAGAAAGCTGTAAAGAAGGCTTGCTGTGTCCTGCATGGAGGATTGGGCCTTTGGGTGTCTGTCCCTGTGTGGTCTGTGGGAATGACTCTGATCCTACCTGAAAGGGATGCTTACGCAGCAGTACCATGGGCTGATGTATGGTCTTTTCTGTTGTTTCCTCCTCTCGATATTTTGGTGACAGTGATGGGGATTCTCAGTTGTCATCAATTCAGACATAAAACATGACACAATGGGACCCTTCCAGTCTTGCTGTGACCACCTCTGAGCCCTTGCACCTTTGACGCTTCCGTAGGAGAAAAGCTCCTTTGCTCCCTTAAGACTTGGAGGAAGGAGTGTTACTGAGTGTCTGGAGTAAAGGCTGCTTCTCCGACCGGCTGCCAGAAACAAGAATTGCAGGGCTAGAGTTCTCATGCAGTCGGGTCTGTGCTGACCAGGAGTATTCAGGGGCTGCTCGTGCCACTGTTCCCTAAGCCTTGGGGGTCACTAATGCCACACCTCTCCGCTAGTATGCCACTGTGCAAACCAAACTCAGCCATCTCTCCCCAAGCCACCAGGCCCGACCAGCTGACCACTCGCCACAAGCTGGGGACCCACCGTGGCATTTCCGCTTCTCCCCCTCACCAGGTGCTCTGTTTCCTTTGAGTGCGTGTCCCCAAGCACGGCTTGCACAGAGAACCGGCAGGCTCTTGAGGCTGAGTTTCCTTTCCTGAAGGGTTTGACTTGAGGGTTCTCCTCTGTTGGTTCTTCCGAGAAAGGATAGCTCAGGCCCTTCTGGGAGCTCATTAAATGTGTTGGGAGCCCTGGGAGCATAATCTAGGAAGTCTTGATGCTGTCCAGGAATGACACACTGACAGAGGCAGTACCTGGCATCCTATTTTCCTCAGTAGAGCCACAATGGAAGGGGAAAAAGTTAGAAGTTTGTTTCCAAGAAGGTTGTGTTTCATACTGAACCTCCAGAGCTGAGAGTAAGCGGTATTTTAAATGGATCTCGGCCGACTAGCGCTGAACACCTGCATTTTCTGAGCACAACCCACCGGTACCCTGAAGGAACGGGGAGGAACAACTTGGTTGGCCTTGACCGTGGCAGCCAATGACCTCTTCCAGGCAGTGACTACTATAGGTGTGTTACTTCTCTCTTAGTCCTAAACATAAATAAAAAAGTACACTCACCACGCTGTCTTAAAGACTCGCGTTCTTGCTTGGGGCAGCACGAACAGTTTTATTTCTGTGTCCAGCAGCGTGTCTATCATCTGTGGTGTGGTACGCACAGATTGGCCCCGATTTGAGCTTATTGTTAACAAGTCAGATGCTGACCTGACCATCTTTGGGAATCTAGAAATTAAGGTGGGGATCATGTATCAAGCACAAACAAAACCGAACCAAAAGGGTGTTTAAAGATTAATGTGAGTTAATGCACTTTCTGTGCCATTAGAGTGAGGAGTGTGCCCAGAACATATGGCCAGAGACAGGAAGGCTGTGCAGATGTTACACTCCTGAAATAAGGCAGCAGAGGAGCAGGAGAGGAAGCTGCGTAGTCTCTTCGAGAGCTGTGGGCTCAGAGAGGGGCAAGGTGGTGCTGAGGGCTCCCTTGAATGAAATTCAAACCCTTCCAAGCATCTTCGGTGAGGTTTGAACTCCAGTATACTCCCTGTTCCTAGGGACAGGTCAAGACGGGATGGCTGCCAACCTACCTTCAGCCATTGAGGGCTCTGTGCCCATCACAACTGTGTTTGTTTTCCATGGCTATTAAGAAACAACCGAACACCCGAAGCTTGGGCCTGTATTTAAAATCAAGGTCTGTTCAGCTCTCTGGAAGCCCAAACAGTACACTGCTACCTCTCCTGAGGTTCGGTGCCCCGCTGCCCTTTGTCATACACAGCGGAAGGTCATACACAGTGGAGAGACACCAAGTCACACAGGTTGGTCAAGAAGCCAGAGGGACAGGGTGGAACAATCCTGCCCTTTTATCACATCTTCCTTTCAAATGAACTAGCTCACTCTGCAAAGCCGAGGGCAGCTGCTTCCAAGGCAGCTGCTCAGTGACCTAGCCATCGCCCACTCAGTCCTTTCTCGTAGACACTCTTCACCAGTTTTCACCCAGCACCCTGGCTACTGTTCTAATATATGAACTCAGAGCGGAGACGGTTTATCTTGCATGTCAACTATTTCAAGTGTGGCACAAGCTTTCAAATTATGAACTAACAGCTTAATACTGTTGATCTGAAGAGCCTGGGATGATACAAGCCAGAAACCTCTGATTGCCGCACGGTAGCTGAATGTAGCGGAATGCAGGACAAGCCTTAGGAGAACCCAAATATTATTAATGCTGTTGCTTCCATGGGCGATGAGCTGTACCCTGAAACCAGGGAGCTAGTGGGGATCACGAAATCCAGCTAGTGAGATGTAGTGTTGTCCTGGGAGATGAAGCCAAAGGACTGAGTTTCATTGGTTCTCTGCTCTGTCAATCAGTGGAAGCAAGTTGCTGAGAGTGCAGCCCAGCACAGGTAGGCACCAACTGGGGTTTTTCTAGTTTTTGATATGGGAAAAGTACCGCTGTTTCTAATTGCCTCTTATTTGAGATAATTGAAGTCATCTGGGCAGGTCCTGTCTTGGGATACTAGGGTTTTCCAAGACTCTGTTTTGGACAGTTATCTCCGAGCTTGAAAAATGCGCTTTGCTTTTCCACTTTTGGTCTCTCCTGTTTGAAAAAGTAGCTTAGAGTCAGGACATGGTGGGACATGCCTGTAATCCCAGCACTCTGGGAGGCAGAGGCAGATTGCTCTGAGTTTGAGGCCAGCATGATCTACAAAGTTAGCCTGGGACAGCCAAGGCTACAAAGAGAAACCTTGTCTCAAAAAAAAAAATAGGGAAAGAGAGAGAGAGAGAAGAAAATACAGCTTTGAAGCTCGAGGCTTCATTTGGCCTTGAAGCTGAGGTGTCAGCTGGTGCCTCATATTTTGCTGCTAAGCTAGAATCTATTTTTCACTCTTGCTTGCTTACTGTAGTTCAAACATCTTGTTTCTAATGTCTGATAGGCTATTAGGCTTGGGACAGTAACCATGCCCAGTTGTGAGGTTGTTTTCTCTGCATTTTCTCTGGTTTATTTCTGTCCAGTTACTTTTTGTTGTTGTTGTTGGATGTCTAGTTATTATTAGCATAAAGAGTTCCAAAAACAAAAGTTGCTCTATTAGCGTTTGGCCATGGCCACAGGGTTTTTTTTTTCCTGTACATATTTAATATGAACACACAAAACACATGTGTGAGTCTACCTACATTTGTGAGCACACGACATTTCTGTCAGCGTGATTTGATTCATTGTCTTCTAAGGCTGCCTCCAGTTTACTTTGATTGGTTTTCAGTGAGACAACTCTCGGTGACTTTTCAAAGCTGCTTGTTGCTAAGGAACAAGAGCAGGATGACGAATGTGCAGTCCGTGTGTGCTCTATGCTCTGATCACGTCTTATCTGGCTCTCCCGCGGCTCTCATCCTCTCTGCTCCAGGATGGAGGAGTGTCCATGAAGGGAGTAGAGGAATGTGTGGTCTATGGGTTAACAGCTTTTCAGAGGTTCTTCTATGCTCGGGGCCCTGCCAGAGGCAGTGGGGAAAAAATCACAAGGATCCAGCAGGCCTGGCATTCGCCACATGGACGAGGAACCAGCTGGGTTATCAGTGTACTCTCCGTGATGGAAACACACGTGTGGTGATTGTCCCTCAGTGCCGACGCATCCTTTGGACTCCAGGTTGAAAAAGCTCAGCGGTCCTGAGAGATTGCAGAAGAAGGAATGTGAAAAAGGGCAGCTTTTCTCTTGTGGCCTCAGTGGTCCAAAGAGTTCATCCGTATGCCCCTAGGCTGCATGCGTCCGTTCCTGACCTTAGAGCCTCCCAGACAGATGTAAAGTGACACTGCCTGGGACACGGGTCCACATTTCTGTACTCTACACTCAAATCACGCCCTGCAAATGAGCTAGAATGTCTCTCAACACTGAAAATTCTACTCATTTCGTATGGCTAATGCTAATGCCACTGACCGTTTCTGCCTCTTCTATGAGCTCAGAACAGGCCAAGAGGTTCAAGAGCTTGAGCTCAACATTCATTTGTATCAACTTTTAAAAGAGGAAAACATCTGAGCAAAGCCAGAAACAGGGTCACAGTAACACCCCAAAAGACAAACTTTTTCTATATGCATCTTCCAGTTTTTTTTTTTTACAGTGTAGAAAAATTAGAACACTAACAAAAGATTGTTTTCCAAGCTTTTGTGTGGCTTAG